GGCCTGTCCTAGTTTCCTTCCCCTCACCAGGGAGCCGGAGGATCCAAGGACTGACGCACATCACCTGACAGCCGCCCCACTGCTCCCCGGCCCTGCACAGTGTGTTTGTGTGTTGTGTGTGTGTGTGTGTGTGTGTGTGTGTGTGTGTGTGTGTGTGTGTGTGTGTGTTTGTGCGTGTGTGTGTGTACGTGATGGAGATGGAGTGTCTGAATTTGTGTATGTGTCAGAGGATGTGTGTGTGTAATCGAGAGAGATGTGCGAATGTGTTAGGATCAGTTGGAGCATCATTCTGTGTGTGCAAGCGCTCACTTGTATGTTTGGAGAAAGTTGGAAAAAGTTTGTGTGTGTGTCTGTGTGTGTGTGTGTGTGTGTGTGTACGTGCGCATGCGTGCGTGCGTGTGTGTACCTTGGGGCAGAGTGGAGAAAATGGTGTCACATGAAGCTTGGAGACAACAGAGCTAGCTGCGATCTGCTTAACCTCAGTATGGACTTAGGCTGTGTAAAAACACATTACATGGACTATATGAAGCATTAATTAACATTTGTATTTATTGTCTTGGTTTGTCAATACATGAATTTACCTCCTTAGGTAAAACAAAACAAATAATCCTGCCTTATTGTATGCCTTAAATCCGGAAGCAGTTGCAATACTTATGGATGGTCTTACTCCTATATTATTACTACAGGTATGTATAAGAAGAAGAAGAAAGAAGAAGAAGAAGAAGAAGAAGAAGAAGAAGAAGAAGAAAGAAGAAGAAGAAGAAAAGAGAGAAGAAGAAGAAGAAGAAGAAGAAGAAGAAGAAGAAGAAGAAGAAGAAGAAGAAGAAGAAGGAGAAGAAGAAGAAGAAGAAGAAGCGGCTGCTGATGACAATCTCCTCTACATACAATAACCCTGTGCTTTTATTTTATTTTTTTATTTAGGTTAGTATCACTAAAAGGAAGTTGATGATACAATAAATACTGTAAAAGTTTGAAAATTAGCCATTAACAATTAAATTGTTTGTTTTGCTTCTTGAGTTTTGTACAAATTATACAAAATTATCTTAACAGTTAATGTAAGGTGGGTTTTGTTACTTCTGTGCAGAGGCAGGCTAGCAGCTTAAAGTTAAACTGTGTGGAGAAAGCAGCACCTAAAATAAGGCAAAACTAACAGATAATTGTCTTTGCCCAGCTATAATCAGAAGAAGCTTTTGAAGTCAAACTCATTCAGAAGCTAAACTTCACTCTACTCTTAAATTAGCCATCTGTCTCTTCACAACTTTGATACCATCTATTTTTAGAAGGTGAAGGGTCACATCGGATCATCCTTATAATATCCATAATCATATATTTTAAATCTCCCATGACTACCTCAATCCTTCTTATGAGAGGCTGATAGCATATTCATAGTCACACAGGCCTATAGGCGCACACACTCGCAGGCCTGTGTGCTTTATTAAAAAAAGCAGTCATGAATTTCTTATAGACTGCTAATGCTGTGTGATACGTTAGGATCTGAAGACATTAAAGTTTTAAACGGCCATTTGCCTGGCAAAGAAAGGAGGATTAGGAGAAGGGTGACGGAGAGTGGGTGATGAGAGACAGAACAAAAGAAAGTTACTTAGAATTGGAACAGTGGTGGTTTATTTACATTCTATTATCAAATGTCCTGTTCTGGCCGATAGGTCAGACAATACTGAACAAAGAGACAAAGTATATAAAGGGACAACTCAAAGATTGAAGGCTAAAGACATATGCATATGCGTTTGAAAAGTATAATGTGGAACGCTGGACACTTCTTACATTCAATCATCGCCATCTTGGCTATGTAACAGATGTTACGCGACCAGCCGGGATTACGGTTGTTTTGCGGTGAACACAGTACTGTACAAATTAAAAAAGTTTTTTTCCCAACATTTTAGTATAGAGGCAGGATATACCAACCCAGTCTAAAAAAAAAACGTGTAATAACTACGTTGGTCCACAACTTGGGACGTAATATTTCTACAAAAACGCCTCTGAAATTGTAAGATCCCTACATTGTTTTTCACCATTCATTTCCAATGGCTGGCGTCTATGTCACGTAATCTTCAAATTTCTCCCTGCAGAAAAAAAAAACATGGCCGACCATCATTTTATTCTCGGTGGAAAATGCCTATTTTAAGGTTAGTTTGGCCATTAAAATGCGTTTTGATGTCATTTGATGCGAGAAATATGAGTTGTTATTTCAGATTATGTGTGCAGTGGATGTACATGATCTTTAGTTTGCTAGTTATTATGAAGATGACTTCAGGAAATTGTGTCCATTCAACGTTTTCATTGTTACCAAGGTGGTTACTAGGGACGCTGCTATCGATATTATTTCTGTTATGTTGTGTAACTGTTTAATGGTGTTATCTTTATTGCTACCCCCTTCCCCGTCAATTTATAGTGTTGGTCCACAGCGCAAACATATTAGTTTAACAAAATCCGCATCTAAAATTGTGGCATAGATATTTTCCCCTGGGCAATTCTCCATTTACTCAACAATAACACATATTTATCCTTGTGTTTATTTATTTGTTTGATTAATAAACACAAGTTGGAGTCCGTCAGGACCGGTCAGGACCGAGGGTCGGAGCAGCTCATTTGTTTTAGAGAATTTTACACCCGGAAGTAAGTATTCTCTCCGCTTCGCTTGACAAACCCCGTGATAGTCCTCAAGCTCTGTGACTGGATGTTTGAGTGTTACGCCGAGCGTCGAACAGCACTTGAAATGGGATAGAACCACGGCAGACTGTCCAAAACTGGATTTGAATGGGTCCATCTCCTCTCTACTCTCTCATCCTCTCTGGACTCTCTCTGTCCTCTCACATCTCGGCAGGCTCGTCAGTCCCCTCTTGCTCCCTGGCTAATTGACGCACTGCGTGCTAATAGAACCATCCTTCGGGCAGCAGAGTGGAAACGGTGGAAATCCAAACACCAAGACGACCTCCTAACCTATCAGGCTCTCCTCTCCTCTTTCTCTGCTTCGATCTCTCAGGCAAAAAGCACTTTCTTTCAAGATAAGATCCAATCTTCCTATTCCAATCCCAAAAAACTATTTTCAATCTTTTCCACCCTCCTGGACCCCCCCCAAAGCCCCTTCCCCCTCCTCCCTTCTGTCAAACGACTTTGTTAACCACTTTGAAAAAAGGTTGATGATATTCGCTCATCTTTTTCTGACTCACCTTTACTCACCGCTGGGTCACCAGACTCTCCTTCCACCCACACACTAACCTCCTTTTCCCCTCTCTCTCCAAGTGAGGTTCTTACCCTCATTACCTCTGCCCGTCCTACCACCTGTCCTCTGGACCCTATCCCTTCAAACCTCCTTCAGACTATCGCTCCTGATATTCTACCGTTTCTCACCCATTTCATCAACACTTCTCTAACTTCTGGTCACTTTCCAAACAGTCTCAAGGAGGCAAGAGTAAACCCCTCTCCTAAAGAAACCCACTCTCAACCCGTCTGATGTTATAAACCTACAGGCCTGTCTCTCTCCTCCCGTTCCTGTCTAAAACACTTGAACGCGCTGTCTTTAAACAAACTCTCCTGGACCCGCACCAGTCTGGTTTCAAGGCAGGTCACTCCACAGAAACTGCTCTCCTTGCTGTCACGGAGGAACTGCACACTGCCAAAACTGCATCCCTCTCCTCTGTCATCATCCTTTTGGACCTGTCTGCTGCATTCAACACGGTGAACCATCAGATCCTCCTTCGCACTCTTCAAAAACTTGGAGTTTCAGGCTCTGCACTTTCCCTCCTCACCTCATACCTCAAAGACCGTACCTACAGGGTAACTTGGAGAGGGTCCGAGTCCGACCCTTGTCAATTAACTACAGGGGTCCCTCAGGGCTCTGTTCTTGGTCCCCTCCTCTTCTCCTTGTACATAAACTCGCTCGGATATGTCATTAGCCCACATGGTTTTTCATACCACTGCTACGCTGACGACACCCAATTTATTCTGTCCTTTCCCCGCTCAGAGACCCAGGTCGTCGCACGCATCTCTGCTTGTCTAGCTGACATCTGACCCAGAAAACAACGCAGGTTCTGGTCCAGGCTCTCGTCATCGCACGCCTAGAATACTGCAACTCCCTCCAGGCTGGTCTACCTGCATGTGCCATCCGACCTCTGCAGCTCATCCAGAATGCAGCGGCTCGTCTGGTCTTCAACCTTCCAACATTTTCCCACACCACGCCGCTCCTCCGCTCCCTTCACTGGCTTCCGGTAACTGCTAGAATCCACTTCAAGACAATGGTACTTGCGTACCATGCTGCGAATGGATCTGGCCCTTCCTACATCCAGGACATGGTTAAACTGTACACCCCAGCACGTGCACTCCGCTCTGCATCAGCCAAACGACTCGCTGCACCCTCGCTGCGAGGGGGACCCAAGTTCCCATCAGCAAAAACACGTGGGTTTGCTATCCTGGCTCCAAAATGGTAGAATGAGCTCCACATTGAAATCAGGACAGCAGAAAGCTTTCACACCTTCCAGCGCAAACTGAAAACTCATCTCTTTCGACTCCACTTCGAGCGATAGAATGACTAACAAAGAACTGCTAACAGAGCACTTATATACTAATAAAGGACTGGCTTATTTAAAGCCAGTTGAGTAGCACTTGAAATGTTTGGCTCTATGAAACCTGATGTACTTATATGATTCTATTTTCTTCAAGGTTGTGTCTTCCTGGTCGAATGTACTTATTGTAAGTCGTTTTGGATAAAAGCGTCAGCTAAATGCAATGTAATGTAATGTAATGCACTTGTCAAGGTTCAGAGGCAAATTTTACAAATATGGCAGTAGCCATCGATCATCTTAAGATAAGATATACTTTATTGATCCCAAGTTGGAAACATTTGCGTTACATCAGCATGTGTAACAGTTGTAAATATGCAGTGGTGTTTATTTGTAAATCATTTAGTATAATCACACAAATTCTGTGTTTTATATTTAATAATTCTGTGTTCTTTATTTATTGATTGTTCAATACCTGACAAGGTCGGAGATTAAAAAATTGGGTCGCAAGTTCCTCAACAGTGCATTACAAGACATCTATCAATATGTGTGTATACCTCCACCATTAAACTGTCATATTCTGCTTTTTTTTTTTTTCTGCAGGGAGAAATTTGAAGATCACGTGACATAGACACCAGCCAGTGGAATGAATGGTGAAAAAAAAACGTAGGGATCTTACAATTTCAGAGGCGTTTTTGTAGAAATACTACGTCCCAAGTTGTGGACCAACGTAGTTATTACACGTTTTTTTGTGAGACTGGGTTGGATATACTGGTACCAAAAAGAAGCCATTAATCATTCCATATGTTTAATTAAGCAGGCTGTTATCATTTGTTAACACAAACTATTGCTGCTAGCTAATTAGCTAGCGAGCTAGCTAAGTGACGATTGTCGCTGTTAGCTAGCTAGATAGCAAGCTAGCTTAAAGCGGCAATCCTCACTTGGGGTGAGGGTAAAGCATCTGTGTGTGATTTGAGACAATACAATATGGTTGAAATTCACAAAATGCAGTGAACTAAGGGAAGTATCCAAATAGACTGAGCATTTGTTAAAGTAAAAACCCTGCAATATTATATGGTGCTCTGCCATATGAAATGAATAGATCAGTAACGTTTGAGTGGGTTTTCAATAATTAATTGTCTCTAATCTTCAGGGTCGTGTGGCTAAAGGGTTTTCAGTTTGACCCCCTCAAATCGCTTTCTCATATTATTGCTGATGTGCGAGTTTAGAGTATGAGTAGTTTTTAGTTAGTCCCTCTCCCTCTGTCCTTTAGTTAATACTGCTGACCTATGAGTTTGGCCTTGTCCTTGCAGAGGCCTAGCTCCCACCTGAAACATACCTGTGTCTGTGTATGTGTGTGCGCGCAAGTGTGTCCATGCGGGCTTGGTGCTGCGTCAGCGATGGTGTTTCACATATGAGAGGTCACGACCTGGCAGCCTTGAGTACATTTGTCTTCATCTGACTGATTACATATTAACACCCTGGACACACACACACACACACACACACACACACACACACACACACACACACACACACACACACACACACACACACACACACACACACACACACACACACACACACACACACACACACACACACACACACACACACACACACACACACACACACACACACACACACACACACACACACACACACACAGCCAGTCATTGTATTGGAATGGTCCTTTGACCCAGGTCATTAATACAACGTTTTCAAGTTTCCACTCTCGTCTTTACCCTTCTCTCTTCCATACTTACCAACGCAGAGTGCCACAGAATAAAAATGTGTGATTCTGTGCCTCTTGCTTTTCTTCATCAACTTCTCCTTCCTCCTCTTGCACTTCTCCACCGTTCACATCTACAAAATCATCCTAGGCATCGGTGAGTCTGAGAGAGAAAGCTAAAATAAACCTTCCCCCTTTAAAGGTGACCTATCATGCAAAATGCACTTTTGTACGTCTTTTATACATGAATATGTGTCCCCGGTGTTCCAGGGAACTCACCAAGTGTCAGAAAACACAACCCTCTCTATTTTCCTCCATACCCAAATCTCTAAAAAAGGTGCTGCAACGGATCTGATAAAAACTGATCCAGATTTGAACACTGTCCTGACGTTAGGACGGTGGCACTACGGCTATTGGGCCAACTCTCCACCTATCAGGGGAATGTGGGGTTGGGCCACGGCTGGCCATTGCCGCTCGAAAGCGCTGGAGACGCTGTAGTACATATGCCAGGCCTGTAAGTGGCGCAGCGAAGAAGACTTCCCGCGAATGGTTGCCATGGTTGCCCTTCTGGTTATTCTCCGCTGTGGCTCTTTTTCTCCCTCCCCGAGGCAAGCGTTTGCTCCCGCTGCTGTAATTCAATGCAATCCCTCCCCGTCGAGGCAAGCACTGTAATTCCCTCCGGTTAGTCCACCAGCAGATGACAAACACCCACCTCTCTGCCTCTTCCAAGGGACGAGGGGACCGTGCGGCAGAGTTTCAGTTAGATTTTTTTTCGCCGGTCAACATGTCCGTTAAAGTTGAAATCTTCCGGACAAAATTAGAAAAGTGCCGGTCAAAGGTCTTCTTTGTTATTTATTGAGCTTTAAAACAAATGACTACGACTCTATATAATAATATAATAAAACACGGAGGACGGAGATCTATTTTTCTCCCCCTCTTCTGACTTGATCAGAGCACGCTCCCCTCTCCTGCAGGGGGGCGTGGTCAGCTGCAGCTCACAGAATCAGCCCCCTGCAAAAATAGGGCTGGAGAACAGCAAATAGAGCGAAATGAGGCATGGCTAAAATCCATGATCTGTTTGGTATTTTGAAAACAGAAACGTATACATATACCTTATATAGGTATGGCCCTACAATATATCATTTAAATATAGCATGATAGGTGTCCTTTAAAGATAAAACCAGTGCAGTCCCACATCATTGTACCAGTCCACATATGGATTTTTTTTATACTTTAGTTAATCTAATAACAACATATGTTATTCCTTTCTCCTGGTTTCTCTTTCTGTGTGCGTGTGCCAGTTCCTCACTTTCCCCTGAAATCATTATTCTGCACCATCCGTTAAAACAAACAAAACAATAATGTTTTACAATATGATAGGCTTTTTTCGTTGTATGTTGTTTAGTTCTTGCTTAAGGCCAACAGTGCTTTTACAAAATATCAGAGTGTGATCATCCTCGTTGAATACCATTTTTGTGCCCCAGTGATTTCTGGATCACAGAGAAAATACTGTGCTGAATAGATGAGAGTAACAAATGCGTCACTTCCGGGCAAAAATAACGGCTCCGCCCACTTTTGGGGGAAAACAACGCTGTCAGTTGAACGGCGGTCAATACAAATTCTGAAGTTTTTGCCAATCCGATCAGAAATTTAAGAAAACCGGAGATTTTTGGATCATCAAAGAGCCCGATTCCAATGGCCAGACAGGCAAACAATTGCATTAAGCCATTAGAAATCGACGATCGGGCTCGATATATGGTTAAATATAGCAGTAGGCTATCGATTTTCATAGATGAGAGTAACACCGACGTCACTTTACGGCCCCGCCCACTTTTGGGGGAAACAACGCTGTCATTTGAACGGCGATCAAGCCTGAAGCCACAGAGCTCTTCTGTTACTGTCCTTTCTTCTTAGAGGAAGTACAGAAACACTGAACTCTTGATTATTTTTAATGTTTGAGGTGCAATAAACGACACAGCAGCTTTTTGGCATGATACAACTATTATGTTCCGCCTCGCTCATGAGAGTAACAGCTGGAGAAATTACAGCCTCGCCTACTGATTTTAATTTAACCATATATCAAGACCGATTGTCGATTACCAATGATCGAATGTAATTGTTTGCCTGACTGGCCATCGTAATCGGGCTCTTTGAAGATCCCAAAATCCACGGTTTTCCAAAAAATTTGATCGGATTGGCAAAAACTTCAGAATTTGTATTGACCGCCATTCAAATGACAGCGTTGTTTTCCCCCAAAAGTGGGCGGGGCCGTAATTTTTGCCCGGAAGTGACGTAGGTGTTACTCTCATCTATCAGTTTCCACTGAGGTTCCGTCACCATGGCAGCCTGGTGGTTGCACCTTATTCCCCTGAGACTCAGGACTGCCATAGTGATCAGGGGCCTCATTTATAACGCCGTGCGTAGGATTCACGTGGGAAGGTTGCTTACGTAGTAGAAATCCAAAAAATAGGTACAGAAATTTTCCGATTCACCAAACATTGCGTACCGGCGAGGAAAGTGCGTACAGCACTTCCTACGCCGGTTTCCCTTTATAAATCACAATCGACTCGAAATGCGGTGCAGCTTTTGCGGGCTTCACGTAACGCCCATATTTGCCTATAAATAGTCAAAGAAACGCCCATTCATTCATTCATTTTGACTGACTTTATGAAGAAGATCGCAGGAAATTACGACAGAACAGCTAAAAAAGACATCTCACACCGTGTCAGATTTTGGTTATTTTGGGGAGGTCGAGATAAATCATATTGTTTGGTGGATGCCATTTGAACCAGAGTAGCAGCATGGAGGTCGGATCGTCACCAAAATAAATAAATAAGTGGTCCGAAAAAGCTTCATGACAAAAAAAATACACATAGCCTTCCTCAGGCAGTGTGTTTGTACCGGGGACAGGAGACCCCCCCTTGATGAGAGACTGTAAGAAATGATCGGGGAATCCCTCCGGAGTGGAGTCATGACGACTGGATCTGAATTATGTTTTCGTATTTGGTGGTTTGTGTCCCAGCTGTCGATCAGCTGTGCGCAGCATCTCCACTGCAGCAACTCTATATCCACCAGTTAAAGGAAATACAACTAATGTGTTGTGTTATATTAGCTGTACAATTTACCACATATGGTGTTCTTAGTTTCCATACCTCCTGTGTTTTATGAGCAACTTATCAAGTCTTAGCAAACGGCATAAAACATGATTAAACATGGTAGTATATAAAACCATGCTCGTACAACTATAGAAATGCAAAACCGCATCATTTATGAGAAAACATTTCATAACATTAACACAACATATTCGAGGTGGTTTTCAATAACATATCCGTATTTATTTATTTCTCCAAGTTATGTGTTTGTGTGCACTGAGGAGTCGCAAACAGGCGTTTGTTAAATCATTTTAAGATTGGCTTTAATCAATGTTTGAAAATGAATTCTTCATATGATAAATGAGAGGTAACATTTTGTTTATGGTATTATTTCCACATATTTCTCTCCATTCTTCCTTCTGCCAACGGTGTCGCAGTTTCTCGTCTCTCCCGTGTTTGTACTTAGTGCGTACGCATGGGTTAGAGTTTGCGAGGAGGACCGCACGTTTTCCCGTCAAGTTAGTATTTTATAATTCGCAAACATTGCGTAGAAACTGGCGTACGCCATTTTTTGAGCGTATATCCCTTTATAAATGAGGCCCCTGGAAACTAAATGTCAGTGTTCCTACTGAGGATATCCCTGTTCACCATTGTCCCCGATACACACATGGCACACACATGGCACACACACACATGCTTTGAATGACCTCCCCTTGAACTACAACCAACACATACATATGTTCAATCTGAATTTACTTTAAAATAAAAACATCTATATTGATTCTGACTTTTCTAAATCCAACTCACAGGTGGATCATTGCTTTGAGAAAAAGATGATTCATTTACCCCTTTTAGAAGTGAAGATATAGTCATTTATTCTGGGAATGTCATTTTCGAGCCTGAGACCAGAAAAACAGGCTTGGGGTTTGTGTTTTCCCTTTCCTGTTGTTTATGTTTTTGTGCATGTCAAGAGAGTTGTTCTTCCACACACTCCCCCTGCCTGAAACGCCTCAATAAGACTCCTTTGCTTACCTCCGTAACATTGTGACCTCACTATGTTACACTTTCGCTTCTATTGGCTAGCGCTCCAACACATTGTACGCAATTGGCTAAAGGGCTGAAATTTCAAAGCAGTTGATCAATCTCAACAGAGCCGGCCAGCTAACCAATCAGATTAGACTGGGCTCTGGTTTCAGACAGAGGGTGAAAAGAGGTGCTCCAGCACAGGCAGTATGAGAAAATAAAGACCTTTTTGAACATTAAAGCATGTAAACATGAGACATTAAAGACACTAAATACAAATATGAACCTGAAAATTAGCACACTATGGCACCTTTAAAACTTTTATATTATTTATAATAAAATATCACAACTTATTAGTGTTGTTTAGGCATTGTCAATACAGCTTTGGGAAAAGTCCCACTTATTTTCTCTAAGCATTATTGATAGCCTGTTTAGTCTGATAAATTCTAAACATTTGATGTCATTCTTTATGATATGGTATTGAGTGTTTTTTGCCAGTCCAGTTTAGTATATTGATATCGACATAGCATTACATTTTTGTACCGTCAGTAGACTCCAAATAATCTTGTTTTTCAGTCCCTGTGTTAGTTTATATGAGCAGAAGTTACTATGTGGTTTGATGTTTATTTACTGTGTGGCATTTATTGGGGTTTGGGGTAGTTACTGGGACCAAAGGCACGGCGGCAGCCACATTTTGCATGGTGTGTCGGACACGGTAGGGGACTTCTAATAAAGACTTTAACTGAGGAAAATAATGGAGCTTTGCGGAGAACACAGGGAAATAGTTGAACTAATGTGTGTGTGCGTGAGAGAAGGTGTGTGTTTGTGTCTGTGCGTTGTTTTGAGACCGAGGCAGAATAAAGCAGGCACGTGCTCCCGCTTAAGGTTAGTTTGAATATCAAAGACGTGCAAGATGGAGCAACACCTAAGGCTAACAGTGGTTGCCGTTATAAACGTAGACAAAACATTTGAAGCCTGCTCTTTGTTGGTTTGTTCTGTTATTTCTTTGTATTTTACTTGTTTGTGTATGTATTGTATTTAC